TTAAAATATAATTTTAAAATTTTGAAACAAATTAAGTTGATAGAAAAATGTGGATGGTTTAGCTTTATATATATTCCTTACATTTGCATTTTTACATTCTATAACACAAAAGTAAAACTTGCCAAATATTTTACCTTTGAAATTTTGCATGGTTGAATATCATACCACTTAATACATAGTTGTGTGAGTCAAAGAAGATTTCAGAAAATTATAAATAACTAGTGTGTTAAAGCTACTGATTATTTTTACAAAAACTAATTGTGTCTTTGTAAAACTACTGATTCCTTGCAAATTTATTGGAGGGTGTTATATCTATTTCTTCTATATGTTAACCCTCCCACCTGCATATTCATGAATAGGAAAAAAATATAAGAAATAATAAAGTTGCTTAAAAATCTAAATCTCAAACATTACAAATTTGCTTAAAAATAATAATGTTCTTAAATTACAAAAAAAACATACTTGTCATGGTAAATGTGATAAAATGTGAATTATCTTAATATAATTAATACAAACATACTAATTGAAATCAATAACCGCTACTAACACCCAATTAAAATGGGTTAATGACTTTCTTTTATATTTGCTGTAATCATTTATGTCAGCATCCTAGAGCTCAATAATTCATCTCATTTGATACAGCACCTCCATAGCATAGGTGTTATTATTATTCTCATTGAATTTAAGGAGAGTGCAATTCAGAAAAATCAACTTATACAGAATTAAAACAGTTGCTTAATGGCAGAGGTGAAACTTCTTGTGTCTGACTTCAAAGTCTTTGCTTTCTATTTCTTTGCAATACATTAAAAGGAGGATGAACAGTAGTTCACAAAAGAGGACATCAAGATGTTCAAAGAATGGTTGAAAATATGTTCAGTATCATGAATAATCAAAAAAACAATGGCCATCTAAGTTTTCTTTCTCCTTTTTTGGTTGTGTGTGGTTTTTTGTTTGTTTGTTTGTTTAAATGAAACTACCAATGCTAATGTTTCTATGGTGAAATTGGAATAATCAAACAGTACTTGTGGGAATACAAATTACTACCTAGTTTCTGGGAAGTACTTTGTGTAATATATATAGAAACTTTGAAATTATCATCCTTTTGACCTAGTAATGCCAGTTCTCATGAGATCTCTTAAAGAAGTAATCAATATATGGTTAATGTGTTAACAATATATTTGATATTGTATTGTTTATAATAGCAAAAAAATTAAAACTAGCTTATTTCAAAATAATAACTTTGTTATATTTGTGGCAACTATTTATATGTCTGCTTATACTTAATTATACTTATCCATTAAATACATGAGCCATTTAAAATTTTTTTCTGTTGATTCTATACTTTAAATGTCTTTCCACATTGTGAAGTCAACTGAAAATTCATCTATATTTCTTTTCTTCTCCTTTGCTTTTAATGGGGAAGGAATTATAGGTAGGTAGGCAAAGTTTTCATTTACTCCTTTAATTCATTCACATTTTGCTTTTTTGTTATGTAATGACAATCTAATTTGATTTCCTTCTCATTTAATTACCCACTTTTTCATCTTTTGTTGAATAATAACAATAATTCTGTTGCTATTTAGTTTTGCAGTGTGACTCATCCAATATTCAGACCAAAGATATTCTGTTTCATGGATCTGTATTTCAGACCTTGTGCCAGTGCCATAGAGTTTAAACCCCACGGTTTTGTTTTCTTATTCTATTTTTTTCTTTCTAGTGTCTATAAATCATTTATTTCCTCTTATCTAGTTATCCTCCTAGAAAAAATTATAATAACTTTTTGTTAAATTCCAAAAATATCCCAACACTCATTTGATTGCAATTACATCAAACCTATATACAAATTTGGGAGAACTACATCTTTATAATATTTAATCTTTTTTATTATCATTCTTATCATTCATTTCCTTAATATTTTGAAACATAGCATTTATAAATGTCAATAAAGTCCATACTTGCATGACAAAAATAAAGAAAACCAGAAATTAAATGTACTTTCTTAATTTTAATGTATATTGTTCTTACTGTCTTCAAATGCTTTTCAAATTCAAGCCAGTCTTATTTTGTATTCCTTATTGATTTCTCTAGTTTCTAGTTTCATTGTTTTTTAAGATAAACAATGCACACACTACCTGTACAGTGGATTTGACAATTCAAGATGTGCTCCCTGCTGCTCTATATAATAAAATCTCCAAAGGAGCTTGTTTATTTCCTAGAGAATGTTTCCTATGATATTCTTACATGCTACAACATTAGTCCTAGGGGTTCTCCTGCTGATTTGGGGAACATAAGCATTAATAATATAACAGAAATGGGAGTTTTGCTTCTTATATTGCTATTGGCATTTTCAGAGACATTGGTGTACCATTGGCCATATTGTAAAATTTATCACTAGGGATACTATCATGTACCAGGAAAAGCATTTGTACCCTTAAAGCTAAGTCTTCCTACATGAACATAGAACAATTTCTTGGTGCATATTTGAGAACTGAAAAGATTAACTTGTCCTTGACTAGTGTGTTATTTTTACCTAGTGTGTTGTGAAAAACAAAAACAAACTACCAAACAATAAACAATAAAGTTCTATGCTCAAATGAATTTCGGAAATACTGAGCTAAAAAAATGTTTCTTTATGGCAAGGTTTATTTTTTTCTTTAATTCTATGTGTCTGTCCACATAGAGGAAATGATATACATTTTAAATATGTATCTGGTCAAGAAATATACCTTTGTAAATGTTACTCTCTAATAAATTGATTCAGCAGGGAGGTCCTAAATTTGCACCCTCTAATTCACCATATGGTGTGACAATGCATTTCACTCAATTCAGTTAAATGCTAGGTATTAAAGGGAGACCCAGTGACAGCTGATAAAACTAGTACATGTTCCCCAAATCTGAATACTCCTGCTTTATGCCATGATAACAGCCATTCTATTCACCATCTCAGTTTCACCTCGACTTTACCAAACTTTTGGTCTATATATGACAAAAGACATGGATAAGAGTAATTTCTGTAAACTTTCCTCATATTACCTTCTTTCAGAAATTCTATGTTTTGTGCACTTATGAAGTCCTTTAATAAAATTGGATATATGTATAGTTAGATATTTACCTGGACTAAGAACACTAGCCATTGACACCATTTTTTCCCATTGGAAAAAGCATTCATATCCCCTTTAATCCTCTAAGGAAATATATTTTTCTAGAAATTTTCTTCCTTAGAATAAGTTTCATAGTAAGCTATAGATAGCTAAATACTTCATTTTGTTTTTAGCAAGTTCACTGTTCCTTTTGTTATCATTCAAAACTGATGACAGGAACTAGACAGGAGGAAAAAAAAGAAGGACCTCCCTGTCAGTGAAGAATCTTAACCTGCTAGGTCTTCACTTTGAAACTTAATCTTATCTAGAGATTTAATTAGGCCGAGTAACCAAGAATGAGACAAGAGTATAGGTGAATTGTGATCTCAGAGGACATCCTGCTGCAAAGCTGGTAAATTTATAAGACTTGCGGTGTTTTCTTTTTTTTCTCTCTTTTAATAGGAAGGAATCAAATGTCACTGAAACAAAATCAATATTAAACTTTTGAGAAAAAAAAATCTTAGCTCTAACATATTCCTGTGTCTTTTAACTATAACATTTAAAAGGGGGGGGTTAGCATTATTATATGTTAAATTGTAACACTAGAGAATAAGGTGCTACTTTACAAATCTACACATAGATATAAAATTAGACCTAGAACGTCAGGAAGGTCGTCAATATATGGGAATTGAGCATTGGGTTTGTAGTCAGAGAATCTGTGTTCTGGTTTTGACTGTCACATGGATAAGCTGTGTCAGCTTGGGCTATACCCTCTCAACCTCATTTTGGACATTATAAAGAATTGAAAATCAGTTTTACCTAATAGGAGTTTTTGGTGCACAAATATAATTGTGTATATGAAGACATTTCTAAATATTAAAATTATATACAAGTACAGGTTATTAGTATTATTTGTATAGATGAAGATAGGTTAACTCCATGATTAATTCCTACTTTTCTTCAGTTTTTTAAGAAGCAAGATCTAGTGCATTGCCATTACATGCTGGGAAATATATTTGTGAAATAAAAATAAAGAAATAACCGTTATTTTTCTTATGAAATCCATTTGTTTTCTAGGTGAAGCAATTATGAAACCAATAGTTTTAATTTTATGGGAACTAAATTACTCCTTGATTAAATAGTTTTGGTATCTTAGTGAATACCAGGATTTCTTATGGAAGAGTAGATAGCTATATCTATAGCTACATCTATATCTATATATATTTAAAACTATCCAACTTTGTTGCTCCTTTTTTTTTTCTTTTTGAGACAGAGTCTCGCTTTGTTGCCTGAGCCAGAGTGAGAGAGTGAGTGCCATGGCGTCAGCCTGGCTCACAGCAATCTCAAATTCCTGGGCTCAAGCGATCCTCCTGCCTCAGCCTCCTGAGTAGCTGGGACCACAGGTGCGAGCCACCACGCCCAGCTAATTTTTTGTTTCTACTTTTAGTAGAGGGTCTCACTCTTGCACTCTTGACCTCAAGTGATCCTCCTGCCTCAGCTTCCCAGAGTGCTAGGATTACAGGTGTGAGCCACTGCGCCCGGCCCAGTGTTGCTCCTTTTGATATTCTTAATCATTTATATATTCTACTC